TGTTATAAGTTCTGAACAACCTGTTTCATCTACGACAATCGTTAATCCGACAGAAAAATGTAAGTTATGTATTTTTTCTGTGAATAATACTGTCTAATTTTATTACAACTTTTTTGTTTTTAAGATGCCAATTATTCTCTTCCCAACTCTATAAAATATGCAACTGTTGGTCGTTCACTCGGTAATACTATTTATTACAATTACTATATGCCATCTCGTCATAATGGCTATATTAGTAGCGTCAGGTTTCGTCTTTTTACTAATTGGGAAGGTACTGCATCGCTTTACTTATTTATCATATATGCAGTTTTGCTTGACCATACTATTGTATGTCGCTATGCTATCAATCCTCAAAAAAATACTACACAATGGCAAACCTTCAACATTCCTTCAGGTGCATTACCCATAGGATCTGGCGAATTCTTAGCTGTTGGTATGCAAGATAGTAGCAATACAAATCAAATTTATGATGTTACACCAGCTGTTGGAATGAGTGGAATAAAAGTAACTGAAACTACGATAAAGGTTGATCTATACGTTTATCCTAACATTGCTCCTGCACTCACTTATACTGTAGCCTACTACGGTAAGAATATAAGTGTATGACTTATTTTTCTCTAAACTTACTACTTGTTATTATTTAGAGGAAACAACAACGATGAAATCAGTAGCTGTTCATTGAGAATGTGTGAAAGGTTTCGTGCATGTGAATTATTTTTCGAAGATTGATATTTGTTTACTTAAATAAAACTAATGATCTATTCGATACAAAGAAGATTTTACGGTGTGAGTGTAGGTGTGAGAGACACAACGACAGAAGCGTCTGAAATCATGACAGACGTTGATATTCGATCACAAAATATATATCAATAGCTTCTTGTTATCATATATGAAATACTTTCTTATTGCATTTTTCGAATATTATATAAAAGGATTGTGAAGAAACAGGTCCCAAATTAGAACGAATAAAACAACTTCACCATAATTATTAATCCTTCGACGATCAAACCAATATAAATGCGGTTTCAAATTTTGACTAACGGAAGAAATCGTTAGATACACTGAACTTGGGGATTTTATTACAGATTTTTATTTCAATATACATGTGACACATAGAGACGTTATGAAACAGTATAGATAGAGTATGCATATATTTAGCTTGGTGTAGTTTGTCGTTATTTATTGCATATTCTATTTATAAAGGCAATACCGAAAAGAAACGTAAATTTGTAGATTATCACTTGGCACTTATTCGTGAAATCTTAGAAACTTCTATTGTTCAAAAATTTAGAATAGGTCGTCCTGCATTGATTTATTAACCGACTGAAGTTACTCCTAAATACTTTCCATCTATTGTGTATCAAACAACAAATAGAAAGATTCCTTAGAAAATTTGTATTGTATCTTTACACCCTAGTAAAATACAAAGAAAGGGAATCGATTCATGCTATATGTGTAAATTTACATTAGCATATTTTCTAATTGTGTTATTAAATTCTTGTTTCTTATACTTCTTTATGAGTGTTTTGTTTCTATTGTTTCAAAATTAACATCGTACATAGTTTGTATTATGTCTGGATGAAAGAAATAATGATCAATAGGGTGTGGGTGTGGATGTTGATGTGTGCTATAGATGCGGCATGTAGACAAAAACACGACCACATCCACACCCAACTAGAAACAGGCATTTCAACGAGCAGCCAACCGGTTTTCAGAGAATCTGGTTCGATTGTCAGTGTGCTGAAATAATTCTCTCATTTGATTCTTTTGTGTTAAAAGAAACTCCATCAACGCTTTCTATTACAATTTAAATTGATTATTAATGCGCTCTCATGATTCATATCAATATTCACTGTAATGAATGTTACAAATATTCCTAGGAAGATGCACCATGTACTTTAGCGTACTGTTCAACTATATAAGAGTATGCTAATTTTTTTGAGATTTTTTAATAACATCATGGTTCTGATAATGGTATGAATAGTTGTTTTGAAAAGAAGAACATTAAAAAGAGACACTTTCTTCTTTAGATCAAAACAATCAAAATCGTAGTTGTCAATAACACAGTACGCTTAGAAGAAAGAAAAATATCACAGCGTCTTAGACAAGTTTCAAGCTGAATATTTTCAATTAGTGAATCAATGCCAAGAATGAAAAAAGAAGTGAGAAAGAAAAGAAAAATATCAAAAGATGTACAATATGTAAAGTAATTATTTGGACAACTTGTAATTTGTTTTTCGCCAAGAAAATTTTACAATCAACAAAGAATATTTTCTTCATTCTAATTTTACCATTGGATAGACTGAACTATATGCTTTATTATACAGAAGTAAAATTTTTTAAAAGATTTGTAAAAGTTTTGGGTGTCTTTCGATAAATGTTGTGATTTCCTATGCACAAAGTAATTTGAACATAGTCTTTTTTTTAGATTGCTTTTATTCTACGTCAAAGTATTTCGATTTATGCCTCATTCGATAGAAAAAAATCTCTACACGATAGTATTCGTCAGAAAAGGAAAGAATTTTTGATAGAACTTAAAAGTAATTGAAGCACTATAGATTTTACAAAAAAATATAAAGTTTTCAGGCTTGAAAAAATGAAGACTCAACTCAAAATTCACCATTCGATAGAAAAAGAACCTTATTCAGATCATTTTCTTCCTATTCTAAAACAAGTCATGAAAGTACATGTTCAATTACAAATTACAATCAATCTCTTTTATAGGTCTTCTATTAATCGCGATTTGCAAGGGAAAAACTTAGTCGAAAATATTATGAAACATTCTAAAAGGAGTATTGAAGTGCATACAGTAGAAGTTTAGACCCAACTGCTCTTCCCTTCCATAGGTCGTAACAGATGGTTTCTAAAGACCGTCACAGATCTTATATCACTATCATCTCATTAGATCATATGATCTACTTCCGTATTGCAATTCTAGAATACTAAGTAAACGATGATGAAGACATCTGTTCCCAAATTGCTTGAGTAAAAAGAATTTTCATACGATAAGCAACAGCATCTACATCGTGTTTCGCATTATAATTCCCTCAGGGATTGCTCTAACAGCTTCTTTTAGCAACTATTGACTTGGAGAAAATTAAATTCTTTATAAAACACGATTTAAAAGGAGCGTTGAAGCGTATAGAGTAGACTTTCGGACCCACTCTCCTGCTACTTCTCCCTCACAGATCGTGACTGCTATCTTGTAGAGTGTAGTTGAAGTTTATTAATACGTAATTAACATTTAATTAATATCTAATAGTATATAATAAACAACTCAGCAACATCTCAATTTATATCTTAATATTAATTCTTTAATATTTCATTATTAACTTATTAATGATACTTTCATAAATAATTCATGATAGCAGTATTGAAGGATATAGTGCGAGAAGTGAACCGTTCCTTCTATCCACAGACGGTGACAAGAAGCTTTGATCTCCATCACAAATGGTGACAGACATTATCGAACCCTTTCACATACTGTGCGAGACGTTGTTGCTTGATAATCAGAGAATGTCCATGAGTAACGCCTTACTTTATAATATGAACTACGTTCTGATTCTAATTGTAAAGGATTCAGTGAAAAGGATTGTGAAGAAATGTGCCGAGAAATGGATAGAATGAATCAATCTCGCTGTGATTACTACAAGCAACTATATGGTGCTTCATATTTTAATCCTGTAGGAATTATACAAACGACTTTTTTAAAAGTTATAGACTTGTTGAAAATTAAGTTCTGTATAAAATGATATGCATCTCTACACGATTAGTAATATCCTTAAAGATGTTAAAGTGATATGTTTTTTTACTGAATTTTAGTGTTCAGGAAGGAAAAAAATCAATTTTTTTTGTTATATAATACGGACGGACTACAGATGTTTTTCTTTTCTGCATTGAAGGACGGATCGGAAAAGATAGGTCTTTACTTATCTTTTAAGAAATTACTAATTGTGTACACACATATAAATTTAGAGAATTTAGTTTTCTACAAGCCAGCATCTTTTAAAAATATTTTTGACTAAATTTTTCCCTGAAAAACCGAGATGAATCGAAGATCTATATAAGAGACTAATTGTAGTTTGTAGTTGAAAATCAAGAACAGAATTAGATTTAACTTTTTTTTTCTCTATCAAGTGATGTATTTTGAGTCGAAGTATCATTTTGTCAAGCCTAAAAAATGAGGTTTTCTGTAAAACCTATACAATTTCAAATATTTCAAGTTTTTCAACGTTCTATCAAAGTTCTTTTCCTTCTAAAGAATGCTATCCTGTAGAAAATTGTTTGTTTTCTATCTAAATTCAAATAATTTTTTGCGCCAAAAATCACGTGGTTCATCGAAAGTCTCCCCAAAATTTGTTTTTATGCTTTTAGAATAAATTAGACGCTGTAATTTACACAATAGTATAATCAATAAGACGAGAATATTCTTTCTTTGTTGTGTATTTTCCTATGCGAAAAACATATCACATGATGTCCAAATAGTTATTTTACATACTGTGCAAGACAGAAATTTCACATCGAGCTGTTGATATCGACATACAAGTCTTTGTTGCGCATCATTCCATATTATGATCATATGAACCAATACCTTCAAATATTGCATTATCATGCATCGAATTCGACGAGAAGACATTCTAAAAAAGAAAAATTCAGACTGTTTTCATGGAATATAAGATACACACCGTAGATTGTATGTCCATGAGAGGTTCATTTAAAAAGGAACAAATATTTGGCAGCGGTGGCGATGCTTCCAAAAAGCTTTCAGATTGTTCATACGAGCAAGTATTGTTATAGTTGGAATATTCTGATGGTTCTGAGTAGGATAAGATCAGGTGGTTGGATACTTCCTATTTTATAAATATAAATGGCTTCTATGTATTAATTAAAGAGAAAATTACAATGTTATTATCATAGAGCGAAGACAAATCTAACTAAACGCATAAACAAAACCTGCCGGTATCGATTTGTTTCAGTCATTAATTACTAGTCAGTTAATAACAGGTAGTTCTATGTTCCCAAACAGTAAGATATCTGGATTTAATCACATGGAGTCATTTTCATCTCGATCTGTAATTGATTTCTCAATTTAGCCTCGTACAATGATTAATCAAGAGGTTACTAATTCAGGAATAAAACGGATATGAAAATATATAAATTCAATATGTTCAATTCAATCACTTAGATATAATTGTTTGTGCAAAACAAATACTTGAAGTTCAACTTTTCAAGTGTAATTTTAGACACATATGTTGATCACTACAATATTAGTTTAGTGACATGCTTTATTTTCGCCTGAAACAAGAATGACAATCCATGATTGATCATGAAATAAAAACTTCTTCTCATTCTCAAAAACTAATATTAGTATAGGCTCAAATTAATGAGAAGCAACTGACCAGAGTAAACATACCGCGGGATAAGCTCGTAAATTTTCAAACCCCTTAAGCTATACTTCTAGTAAGTTTGAAAGATACAGCAAGGGATTCTGTACATTCCTATAAGTGTATTTATTTATTTATTTATTTATTTTTGTTAAATGCAAAAAGAACTCCGAGTAATAAAAAGCTTCAAGAGGGTCTATTTTTTTGAGAGTTTTCGGTAATAACTATGAAAGTCGTAGTTTTTTTTTGTAAACCTAATACGAAAACTAATAATATAGATCCACTTCGTTTCTCATGC